GAGAGATGTACAAAGAGAGAGAGAGAGAGAGAGTAAGAAAGAGAAAGGGAAGATTCATCTCGCGAATGCGATGATCCTTTTGTTTTTCGAGAAAGAAAGCCGGGATGATCCTAGGTAAGGATTCTCTCGTTTACGGATTATAACGAGAGAGAGAGAGAGAGAGAGAGAGAAAGAGTGAGAACATCGAACTATCTTTCTTATCGTTTTAAATTCTTTCTCATTTCGACGAAATAAGAAAGAATATTATTGATAATTTTTCGCGCTTTATAAAGATTCTTATTTAATATGATGATCACACACGAAATCTCGAATAATTTATTATTTTTCGACAAGATTTTTTTTTACTTTTCTATTAACCGAATTTCCAGATACGGGTTATATAATAACAGGCGAATCGTTTTCTTTTTTTTATCGTCGTACAAGAAAATAGAAACGAGTCGGTGGCAACGAAAGATATACAAAAAAAAAAACAGGAAAGAAAATAAATAGTAAAAAGAGAAAACAAAAGAAGAAGAATAAGAAGAAGAACACAGCAACGAACGATAATCCGAATGTTATTTCGAAAAAATAGGGAGGAAATTGGGTTCTTTTGGCGTACGTGCAGACGATGCAAACGAAAGGTAAGATAATGGAAAATCAGAAAAGAACATTGGCAAATTCCCCGGTCGGTCGCCGGTTTAAGACAGTCAAGGTGTGGAAATCTAGAATGGCAATACTTCAAATTCATTTTCCTGACAATCTCCGGCACTTACACGATGTCCCAGACCTTCGTTCAGAACCAATAAAATCAGAACTTTGTCTATGAAGAACAATATCGAAGAGATTAGGAAGAGAGGATGACAAAAGCAATGAAAAAAGAAAAAAAAAAACAAAGAAAATGAAACAGATAAACGAAAAGTTGAGAAAGGAAAAGTCTAATACCTTTCTTTATTCGAATCTGCACTCTTTTTCTCTCTCTCTCTCTCTCTCTCTCTTTTATGTGTTTGCTGAACGTTAGAGTACACTCTAGATAAGATGAAAGAAAGAAAAATAAAAAGTAAAGGAAAGACACGCAGCAATTGGGTGTATTCATTTTAATCGTTTTCCTTTGGTTCGTTCGTTTGTTCGTTCGTTCGTTTCAACGATTTGCTCTCAAAATTCATTGGACGATTCTAACGGAAAACGAGCCTTTCTATTCTATTTCGTTCAATTTTTTTTCTATTTCTTGTATTTTCCTTTCTTTCTCGTTCTTTTTTTGGCAGGGGTGGGAGAGGGTGGGAAGGAAGGAGGGGGAGGAAAGGAAAGATCTCCAACGTATAGTAGTAGGGGATTTACCTGTAAAACCATGAGGAAACATTTCGATAAGTTATCGCGTAATTATGAAGCCCATAGAAATCGTCTGTTAGAACGTTTTCTCTTTCTTTGTTAGCAATAAAGTATACAACCTAGTCGTTTCTCATCGGCTCCGGAGAAATAGAAGTCGAGAAATAGGAAAAAGGGATGAAGATTCCTTTCGGTGTCCAAAATTCCCTGATACGTGGTTTTTTCTGTTTTTTTTTTTTTTACGAATGGTACGCTACATTCATTTTTCTTTTCGAAGAACGATTACTTTATTTATCCTTCGTGATATTTTAATGTAACAATTTATACGTAGTTTATAAGTAGTATATAAAGCATATAAGTCGTGGTATAAAAATTCTTATAGAAAAAAAAAATAAAGAAAATGAGAAAGGTGCGTTGATTAAAGTGAGATGGAAAAGTGTCGTTCGTATTCAAAGAGAAAGAAAATATATAACAGTTTTTTCCTTCGTCAACCGACGGAGTTTTTCGTTTCATTTCATTTCATTTCGTTTCGTTTCGTTTCGTTTCGTTTCGTTTTACTTTTACTTTACTTTTCGGTTGCTCTAATGTAAGTATAGTTCGTATATAATTTTAATACGAAACGTAAACGCAGGAGGAACAAAGAACGTGCTTCTCGTACAAAGGCGAATGAATGAAATTACGTTCCCGCTAAAGCGGATGAATTAAAAGATCGTCGGTTTTGCGTTGTTAAGAGAGAGAAAGACAGAGACAGAGAGTGAGAGAGAGAAACGGAGGAGGAGAAGAATTTTCGTACTTCCGAAAAAGAAAAGAAAAATAAAAAGAAAAAAAAAAAAATGATATTAGCCAAACCCCTGCTCGACCTTTTTATGGTTTCTTGTTCTTATTCTTCTTCTTCTTCTACTTGTTCCCCTAACCATTTATCCGATTTCTTTGTTTTCAACGAAGCAAACCGGTTGTCCCATTTCCTCTTTTCCATTTCCTATTTTACTTCTCTCGTTCCTCTCCATCTTTCTTTCTCTCGATCTTCCCTCGGTTGGGTGCTCTATCAACCCGATTCTTCTCGGCGAATTAACGTTTCACCACGAATCCGCAAATAAATCTTGTAAGGCCGCAATTACAGTGGTCGCGGCAAGAAACTAAATCTTCGAATAACGATGCGGCCATTCCGTGGACGAGGAGGGGGGTGAAGGGTAGCAGTGGCATGCGGTTTTAACAAATTTATATCTTTCTCGTGCAAACGAGCGTAAATAGGAAAATTTGATTCTAATAAATTTCTAGAAAATCGAAAGAATCTTTCTCTTTTTTTTTCTCTCTCTCTTTCTTTTCCAGTTACCAAAAAAATAAGAAAATTTATTCCATATGTTCGATGTCAAATAATAAGAATAAGAATAATTATAAGAAAGAAATGATAAGGGCAAAAATATATTCTGACAAAAATTCATGCGATTTAGAGTAATTCATCTTTAGACGTTAACATCCAAAAGTTTGAAAAAGAATCAAGAGAAAAACGTTCAATTACGAAACACAAAGGAAAAGTTGCCTCAACGTCATCCGTTGTTACTGCTCGGCCGCAAGTTTATTTGTTCTCTGGACGATGGTTGCCTGGATAGGAGGAGGAGGCGAATCGCTATTGTTCTTAAAGATTGAGTCTTCTGGAAGGATTAATGAGAGCTCTTTCATAAATCCGATTGGAAAACCCATCTTGACTCTGTTGATGTCAGATGTCAAAAATTGTCATCTCTTTAATCTACTGTCTCTTCTATTATTATAAAATTACAAAACCTTATCTTTTTATTGTATTATACTTTTCGATATTTTATATATAAAAAGAAAAAAAGATAATAATCCTTCGAGAAGTTACTCTCAGTCAGTACTTTATTTAACACGATAACGATATTTATTTAGGTTTTATTTGAGAAATACGTTCAACCATCTTTCTTCTAAACATAAGTGACACCTTAGAGTGGGAGTACATTCAAAAGTTTTCAGAATCTCCCATTCTAGACTACCACGTGTTATTTGTTTAAAAACAAATATATATTCTACAAAATGTATAGAGAAAAAATATCTATGGAAAATTGTATAAAGCATTTATAAAAAGGAAATAATCTACTTAATCAATAAAATTTAAGATTAAAACGATCTGATTTTAGCTTTTTTCATTACTATGCAATTGTTTAAACTGATGTAGATTTTTTTTAACGTTCCTGTGCAGTGAAGACTTTGGGGGAGGAAAATTTTCATCGAAAAAAATATCACATCGATATCATTTAATATTTAAAGTATGTTAATAAGTATGAAATGCTTATACTAGTACATATATGTTTAAACAATCTGAAATATAAAGAGAATGTATTAGAATATTGAAACATAATTGTTAATTAATCGATAGAAATGTCTATTGTTGTTAAAAAGCTCGGAGTTTATGATCTATGTACCGTCCTCTTCGAAATTCGCCGTTGAACTGAGTTATTGTCCTCTAGAAATTTACTTTTATTGAAAATTGTTTATATGAATTTCCGAACGTTGCGCATGTTTATAAAGGAAATAATCTACTTAATCAATAAAATTTAAGATTATAACGTTCTGATTTTAGTATTTTTATCATTTCACCATCTTCTCATCCCATTCACCCTTTTTAAACAACAGAAGCTCGTTTCTAAACCGAGCGAGAAACTCTTTTACTGCGGTTGTTTTACGCGCTCGATCCGAAAATGTCGGCTAGCAGTTGAAGGGGGGTGTTTTCCGTCTCAAGTACCCACAACTTTGCCCTCAAAGTAGTACGAACACGAGGCACTCAGACCACCATCGTCTAGGTGACTGTGAAAAAGTAACTGTTTTCTGGTGTAAGTCTTTTTATTTCTTTTGTGGGATCGTATATGTTCTCTTTCTACGTATTTACGTATATAGGGTAAACCAATCGAATAGAAATTATACAATACAATAGTTTCTACGAAATAATGAAAAATAAGACCACAAATTTTACAAATAATAATAAATCCTTTTTTGATGATGATTTTTTGTTGTTGAAATTTATCAAATCTTTTTTGTTTTTATAGCCAATAATATTTGACGATATTATCTCGGGAGATAATCGAGAGAATCTAGAGAAGTGGTTTACCCAGATAATATACGCGTAGTATGTATAATATATATATATATATGCATATATAGGAGAGTTAAGTTATATAGGTTTAGTGTAAAATCGAGCACGAAGATCGAGAATGTAGGCGGCACGATCGAAACTAAAATTACAGAGTTAATGGAAGCCTAGACGTGGGCATATTCTTTCTTGCACTATGAACAGGGATAAAAGAAATCGAGGAGTATCTCGTTCCTTTAACACCGCCAACTTTACTCTAGAAAAGTATATGACGCTTTTCCTTCTGGGGTTAAATAAAGATTCTTATCTTGGACTTTCCCTTAGGTTTTCTCAAAGAATTTTTTCCACCCTGTTTTGTCTCGCGTTAACGAACGAGTTTCCTCTTCTAATTTACTTGCCAAATTAACTCTCGTTAGATAAGAACATTCGTGTTTTAATATATTTATAAATGTGTATTTAATGTCTATTAAAGTGTCATATATATATTTATCAATTATTCAACATTCAATATTAAAATCGTATAATTATTTTAAACGTATAATTATTTAAATCGTAATCTTTCTTATTATATATTAACGAATTTAAAATAATATTTTTATCGGATGACTAAATTTTTAAGACCGTCTTCAGAATGAATTTCAAATACAGCAGTAGTGCCGTCGTTGAATGGTAATGTAACACCTCCGTCGATAACCAAACCGGCGTCGAAACCATGAGATATAACCTTGACCTTTCGACACATTCTTCTTTCGGGGGATGATTTTGGTTTAGGCCATTTCCTCGCTCTATACAATTCACGAACCATGTAAGACATTCTCTCGTCTTCTACGTATAGATACGCAAATAATGAAATTATTTTTTTCATTGAGGAATGCTTTTGTTTTCCTTTTTTTTAAATCATTACTTTCATAAAAATATATATTTTTTCATACCTGGATCAAATGAAAGACTACGATGATAAGATTGTATTACTTTCAAAGCATCATCTTCATCGATATCCTTTCCCATAGCGATTTTAATTAATCTCTTAACAGTTTCCGGTGCTTGAAGATTCATCGAACGAAACCAACTTCGCGAACCTGAACCAGTGCATACGCATATTCCAGAACATTGTATTTTATAAACATCTTGATCGTCAACTTGAATGGTCAATGTTATCGTGCCGGTTGATAAAAATTCACCCATGTATACCTAGGAAAATAAATCTGACGAAATTTGAAGACGAAAAGAAACGAATAGTGCGAAAGTTTTTTTTTTTAAACCTCGTTTAACGCCAACCATGGTAATACTCTTCGATGAGATTCCTGAAGAAAATCTGCGAGTTTTGTTTCGTTACTTTTTACGACGATCCTGCGAACAAAAATTTCAGACACGTTAGAATAATAATTAGTGCAACAATGTGCGATAAAATGATAATTGATTTTAGCTTTGACACCGCCTGCCTGTACACCGATACAGATTCTCTTTCTTTCTCTCCTTGCGCCACATGAATATTAATTATTTTTGATGGAAAGTTTTTGCTTTATGTTTTGTCCCCTTTCGTTGTTCCCCATCGATCGTCCGATCGCGGGTATTAAAAGCCAAATCGACATTTAACGTTAGTTTACACGATACACGTTAATTACCAATATTACTGTGATTTCGATAAATACGTTCTTATATGTAATCGAAATTTAATGAGTAATTTGAAATTGCTCGTTCGATTTGCAAAAAAAAAAAGGAAAAAGAAAGAAAAAAAAAAAAAAAGGGAGCGTGAGAGCAAAAGAGGATTAACATACGAACAGCTATTCATCAATTTTCCCGTTGACACTTCGGTTAAATGTAGAATCTCATTTTGTATATCTTAATAAAGTTACCACGATATAAATAATTGTCAGTAGTTAATTCATTCTTTCTTTCTTTCTTTATTTATTTCATGCTCTTTCTTTATTTTGCCTGTCTTGCATTAAGCCATAAAATTTACGCGCGCGCATAGTTCCAAAGTTATGACCTCTTCGTAAAAGTCATAACTACGTAGACCTTGTAATTTGCAAGTTATAACTGCCAAAGTTATATAATGTGTATAAACTATAACTTGAAACTGCTTTGTGGTCGAGCAGCGAGAGCAATGAAGACGCATTACCAACGCTTTCATGAAAACACGTAATCGGTGAATACCTATTGCTTATTTTAAACTTTGAAAAGAGCAAATGGATCTTCTTAATGACCTGGGACGATGAAAAAAGTTCCTATGGGAGGGAGCGTTATCCGCGATGGACTATGAAAAAACAAATTTCATCGTTTCCTTTAACCGGAATTACGAACTTTAATGGTTTGGACTTCCTTGTGTTTTTTTGTTTCTTTTTTGATCTTTTTATTACGTATATTAAAATAAGAAATATTTGCTTATAATTCACCGAACGCGAATGATCTACTTACTCGGAATTCTTTCCATCGTCTTTATCTTTCATTAAGTCTTTTACCGATCGAGTTTTTTCATCCAAGTGATAAGGCTCATGATTAATATCCTTCCCGTACATGGTGGTTCTTATTCGACTTCTCATCAATAAATTATATCTTCCTTCTTGCAATTTTTCAAATATATTTTCAATATCTGTACAATGATCTATCGAAAAGGTACGCTGCTCGTCTATAATGGTTTTTGGATTTATACCGATTATTGCTTTTTTATTATTTTGAATTAATCGAGATGCTAAAAGGAAAGCACCATCTCCGCCGATCGAAATCACCAGATCGGCCCATTCAACGTCGTCGTTAGCATTGTTTACCCTAATTGATATTAATTCATCATTTTAATGTTTTGTTTCTTTTTTTTGTTTGTTTATTAAATAATCACATAAATACCTCTTGACCATTCTAAAGTTACATCCAATTTTCTTCATTATTTCGTTCAATTGATTTTCACAATCAATTTGCATTTCGTGTTCTTGTTTTAGAATATCCGGAGATATGCCAGATTGCAATGAAACAAATTTATCGTGAAGTTGCATTTCATCCCAATCAGGATATTTCGATCTTATAATATCCCAAAGTGTTACCTTTGTTATTCCTAAGACGCGTTTTGGTCGAAAGGGTAGACACAGCAAACGTCGAGTTAACTTCATTTTTTAATTGTCAATAATTTCGAAAGTTGGTTAGAATAACATTGATCATGATTGAATAAAGAAAAAAAAGAAAACAAAAAATAAGCAGCTAAATTCACGATGTAAAAAATTTTATATAAATAAATATATCTACGTTGAGAAAGATAGAGAAAAACTGTAAAGGGTAACGTCGGATTGGTATTTATTCCTTGTTTGCTTTAAGAGAATCTACGGAATTCAGATACAGGATTCAGGATTCTGGAATCGTGCGATCCTTAGCAGCATCCTCCGCAGTTCGAATTCCCACTACCGCAGCATTCCGAGTCGGACCGTCTTCCGGTATTTCTTGGAAAACAGCAAGTACCACCACCGCTACCGGAGCAACTGTATATTCTTCCGCAGGATTGACCACCGCATCCACCGCAAATTCGAAAGCGAAAGCCTTTGCACGTCTGGCACTTGAATCTGATATAAGAAAAACGCAAACGATGTTTCTCCTTTCTAACAAATCGGTTATACTGAGAAACGTAAAAAAATCGTTTTAATCAAATATTGTAAATTATTCTTTCTATATTTGTTTGTTTTTCAAATATAAAAAATATTGAATTTTGATATACCACTCACTGACAAGGAAGTTGTTCCTTTAATTGTATCCCATGACAACGATTGATTTCATCGGAACAAATAGGACCACCGCAAGAATTACAAAGACAATCCTTTATATCGATGCAAGGATCTATCCTTTTGCAAGAAACACGATTTGGAAATCTCACCGCGGTACACGTGGGTGAAGATCTTAAGCAGGAAAGTGGTGAACAAGGTGACGACCGACAGGATGTTTGTGGTCGTCCTGGTGTACAACACGAACCACGCGGATGATGTAAATTTCGTCTACCGAAAATCGTCCAAGCATTCGAGAAGTGTTGTATAGGTTTGTACAATCCACCGCAACCACCTCGTATCCTTCCATTTTCGTTTCGATTCTCTGGGCCACTACCGCAGTATCCTTGATCTTCTTGAAATCTAAGCACGTCTTCGTTGATTACATTGTCGGACCAAGGATATTCATCTTCGTCCATGTTCTCACAAAACATTGCATTCGAACCAACGTTATTCTCTTTATTATCATGCAAAGCATTCATTTCTATGTCGTTCAAATTGTCTATAGCGGATTGATCCGCTAATTCCATTTGTTGACGAAGTTTATTATGTTGTTCCGTTAAATCACATTTACTTCCACCACCTCTAAGACGTTCCACCATTCGTACGAGTTTCAATGTCTGATACGATGACGATGATGAATTCTTACGTGGTAGTATTCCCTTTGAAAAATTATATTCCTTGGGGGTTTTAGTACGTCCCACACGTTTCGTATTATCCGAGAAGAAATGAGAACAATTTTTCGTTGGACAGTAAATATTTGAAATTGTTTTTCCAGGAACGTAAAAATTCACGAAACGTCGATTTGAACGTCGATTCCTTCTGTAAATATTAATAACATCGATATTTAAATTTCAATCGTAGCTTCGTTGATTATAATTTTACCATACAAATCGATTGTTTTTTTTCTTTTGATTTTCTGCAAACAATTAACTATTCGATCAAAGCTAAACGAATTTGTCATTATTTTAATTTTTCAATGTCAATCAAGAAAATCGGATCGAATGAAATTATACAATATGTACATACACACAACACGCACGCACGCACGCACGCACGCGCTCACGCATACACGTATGCCAAAATAAATTTGTTTGTCTCTTTTCTCCGTCTGGAAATCAAATTAACTTCGGAGTAAAATTAAAAGCGGATTTAAATACGTTCGGCCAAAATTTCACGAATTGAAGTGTGCCGAAGAAAATTAGTCATAATAAAAAGGATTAAATACGATTAAAAACAATCGTACCATGCGTGGATTATCATCAAATACATATATACATATATATAATGCTTCCTCGTTTTCTCGATTTTATTTGATTTGTTGTATTTTAAAAAAATTGAATTCGATTGAAAAATAAGATTCGATATTTTTCGAGCACATTCATATTTATTTCCAATAAAGTATACCTAACGTTTTCTTCATAGTACTTCGGATTGGTTGATAGAAGCAACGGAGTGGCCGTTGTTGTTTCACGTTGAAACTTCTTAGAACAGCTAGTACTACTCCCATCAGCCATTATGTTTTGCTCGAGTCGAAAGTTCTGACGACGTTCAGGGACACCAGGAACGACGTATCTGACGTAGTTGTACGACGAGGGAACGCACTCTGCAGAAACGCTTACGCGTCCAATGCAATTCTTGCTACGGGAACAGTAGCCTTCCCAACAACTTTCCTGAGCTTTCTCTAACAACCCCATCCGTTGACCACGAAGGCTACTTAGGCTTCTATCAAACCCACGACATAGAAGATCTTCCTTCGGTCTTCCAAGTGAACTTTCTATCTGAAAAATCGAATTCTTCTTCTTCCTTCGACAACGAATTCTTGCCATTACGATTTTTCTCAAGTTTTTTCCACCGATACCACCACCACCACCACGTAAACGGTTACGCGTTACGTAAAATCGTGGAAATAGTTTTCTGTCTGATAAATCAATTTTACATATTCATATATTAATTTGTTTTTTTTTTTATCAAATAATTGTGTATTATTTAAAAAAAATAAATAATCAAATCACTCACTCAGATTGAGCTCATCCTCGTCGTACAATCCGTTCGCTGTTATTTCAATTCCTTATAAAACGAATGAGAATTGTTTAACGTTGTTCTTGTTAAAAAAATATAGTTTCGTATAAAAATTGTTTACCCGGTACGCAAGAACATTTTCCTTCACACCCTTGTCCTAATCCTGGACCACAACCTGGAAGTCCTCCGCAACAATTTGTACATTTACGTTTCTTTTTTATTTGCATAGGCAAAGTTTGCACACCCTTGTCCTTAACTAATAAAAAATTCATATGTCTTTTTTTTTGTATCCCCTCTATCATAATACCAAATAATCTTACCATATATCATAAACGTCGTAGGAGATAATAATACTTGGCTAAAAGATTAAATAAAAAAACCATAATGTATAATGTATATAAAAATAAAGTAGAAACATTATTCCGGCGTAAGAATCACTATAATATCCTACTTGGCTTCCGTAGAAATGGCAACTTCCCTCGTCGTTATAACAGGGTCAATCCTAGAATAATGATCAGAATGGATCCTAACAATCGCTATAATATGTGGACTTTATATAACGTGCTTTACTTTTGTTGCATCGAGGTTGTTTCGAACATTTCTTTGGTGGATCCGATTATCCTGCAGACAATGGAATACACATCAATTGAAAATCATGCGAATTTTCAATAATAAATTGTTATTCGGTCAAATCTATGTATTATATATATTTTTATATATATACCTGTCCGAGTCATTTTTCACTTCTTCTTTATGCCTGCAGACCCAAAAAAAATATATCGAATTGCAGCTTTAAGAAAAACATACTGTTCATCGATTTGTGATATGTGTCTTACGCAATTTCTTTGAACACTTACTTCGTTATTTCATTTTCCTTACTGACGATACCACCTTCTCTTTCGGTTTGCCTAAAATGATAATGATAATGAAGTTAATTAGATAAAGTTTTTCTTTTTTATGAAAATATCTGTAATCGTTTGAAAATGCAAGGAAGGGCGAGTAAGCTATTTAACTCGTGATATTTTAACGCGTTATTAACCGTTAATGAGCAAAAAACAGAAGTGAAATATAAATTCACATAAAGATAATAATTACGGAGTAACGAGGAGAGCTCAACTTACTGATATTTTTCCAACAGTTCTGCCATTCTTCTTTCCCTCACTCGTTTAAACTTTCTAACGGAGGATTAAAAAGAGAGAGAGAGAAAAAGGGAAAACAAAAATATATGAGTTTACGCGAACGACAATCTTACGTATTAAATTACAAATAGAAAAAGCAATAGAAATTACGTACTCTCGTAATGGATCTATTTTTTCCGAAGGAATTGCCATGATTTTTTGTGTTTTTATACAAGTTTATTCGAAAAATTGATTAATTTAGATTTGCCGGACTACATGATTGAAATTTAATTTGGATGATCGAAATAATGCGATGAGATTTGAAATTAAAAATTTTTAATTGATCATTTTATTTCGATTTAATCGATATCAATGATGCATGTAACTCCCTTCATTGGTTTCAATTTAATCGAAATATAATTCGACTCTCGTGGTAATAAATGCAATAATAGTAGATACCCGTTCTTTTGTTTATAAAATCAAGAAAAATATCAACGAGATTTTTTCCACGCGATGTCAATAATAAAAATATTCCTTTTGTGGTAAAATTCTAGTTTTAAAAATGTCGAATTTATAGACGCGCATCTTTGATGTGAACTTTTTATTGTTACATCGGGCATAAAATATCTATGCAATAAAATTTTACTTCCATATTCTTTCGATCTATCTATGGTTAGATTTCTATTTCTATAGTTTCTTTTATCATGTTTTATTTTACTTTTACAATGCTACATTTGCCCTCAAAAGAAGTAACGTTACATTTGTACCTGGGTAAGCTGAATTGTCAAGCTATGGGAACCATCTTTTTTATTTTATTTCTCTTTTCGCATTCATATTCTCATTTTATATCTAGTAATATTTTAGAATAAAATATATATATGTATTTATTTATTTTGAATACATTTATATCTTATTTATTTTGAAAATATTTTCTTTATTTCTTCTGTTGACACGATTTTGAACATCTTTTGCCAACGAATCCTTTCGAGTTTCTCAATAAGCAATCCGAAATATCATTTTCCTTATCCTCAGACGTATCCTGCAATCTGGATATATCTTTTATTGCTTGGCCTATGTTCGTTATAGCCGATTGTACAAAATTCTTGCAAGTATCGTGTACACGAGACCAAACTTTTCCCATTTCGAAATCCCCGAAAAATGAATTTTGGCAATTCTTTGGTATTCCGTGTCTTTCCGATGTATTTCCCATTTCTGATTCGT